TGGGATATGATGAATTGCCACTTTAATATCAGATTATTCATTGAATTTAATTGAATCTTTGAGTTTTATTTCCTATAAAATTGAATAGCTTTGTATGCTCTTCGATCTATCTATTTTCTTTGGCCAAGTTCAATGGGTTTCACTTTAGAGGGAGTAACACAAGTAGTAATATCTATTAAGGTAAAAATGCATGTGGAGTGGAGATCGGCTAGGCGTCGCATGAGGATAGAGGTGGTGTTGAGCGTAGCTAGTGGCGTTGCGGCGGTGGCGTCCAACCCGGATCCTATCTTGGCGGTGGCGACGACGATGGCTAGCCCAGATCCAGCCATAATCGTGGTGGCGTCTCTCCGTTGGGGATGATGGGCCAGGAGGTGGGTCCTTGTGGCGGCGCCGATGGCGGCGGATCTTGAGATCCCATGTCCGGGCCAGCTGTAAGATCATGGACACTTTAATTTGATTTAATAAGTGGTGTGTTTGTTGGGATATGATGAATTGCCACTTTAAGATCAGATTGTTCATTGAATTTAATTGAATCTTTGAGGTTTATTTTCTATATAATTAAATAGCTTTGTACGCTCTTCGATCTATCTATCTTCTTTGGCCAAGTTCGATGGGTTTCACTTTAGAGGGACTAACACAAGTACTAAGATCTAGTAAGATAAAAATGCATGTGGCGTGGAGATCGGCTAGGCGTCGCCTGAGGATGGAGGTGGTGCTGGGCATAGCCGGTGGCGGCGGCGGCCTCCAGCCCAGATCCTGTCTTGGCGGTAGCGACGGCTAGCCCAGATCAGGCCATGATCGTGGTGGCATCTCTCCGCCGGGGATGACGGGCCAGGATGTGGGTCATTGTGGCGGAGGATCTTGGGAACCCGTGTCCGGCTCTTTGCAGGACGCGCGTGGCGGCCGGAGCTTCCTTCAGCATCGACGGCGCTTGATGCGGAATCACGTCATCGGTTGCCGTTGTATGGGTGACAATGACGGCTGGCGCGACGATGGGTGCTCCCTGTAGCGCCTAGAATTGGGGCGGCAACCCCTCTCGATCAACGGCGGCGGACTCCGGGGTCGTGTGGGAAACTCAGAGTCCGGATCGCGAGGTGGTGATGGCCTTCTATGGCTGGTGGCGGTATGGGACGTCCCTTCCATCAATAGATTGGATTTGATGTGGCTCGGCGGGTGTCACATGTGCCTCTTTCGGAGTTATCGAGCAGTATCGGTCGCCGGTAGGTGAAGCCACTGCTAGATGTGCTACCGACGGATGCTATGCACGACGTCTTATATGAAGGATTCAAGTCATGCCTGCTACTAGTAGGTGATGCACGGTGGCTCGGGCGGAGGTGTCATGTTTAGCCTGTTGTTGTTGGATCGAAGGTGGTGCGACAGTAGCAAGAGACATGCGGTATGGGACATCTTTGTCTTCCGTTATCTCCTCCAGAGGTATCGGGCTATCGAGGCATCGGTAGACGGATATGGGTGGATGGTACAGACGGCTTCAACGATGAATTTATGCAATCTGGTGGAAACACAACATCTCTGATCAAGCTATATCGTCGCGCCCCTGTGTCGTGTCCTTGCTGAAGGCGGTGGATTGAAACTTGGCTTTAGGGATGAGAATTCGGAGTTAAACCTTGTGGTGGAATCACCATCAGGGGTGCACATGCGGTGATTCCTTCTTGAAGGGGTATCCTAGGAGTTCTGTATATTTCGTTTATGTTGTGTCTTGTATCATAGAGTTAGTGGCTATCAAGAGGAGTTACTGTCGCGAGGTATGCGTCGCAGGGTTTGTTTTTTGCTTTATTTCTGGGTTGATGGTGTTCGGCTGCTCGATTTTGCACTATTAATAATATATGGCTGCATGCATCTTTCTAATGCAGTGATCGGTGGCTATCCTCCTTTTCAGAAAAGAAAAAAAAACCAATAGCTATGTCTTTCTCTAGGGTACCATTAATTGTCCTATGTTATCACTGCGGCTTCCGCGTGCAAAGTTATTATCACACGTTGCAACACCTTAAATGCTGCCCCTATGCACGCGTGCACTCGTATACAAGACAAATAAGATTAAGTAGAAATCAACATTTAATAAATAATTATATTATTTTACCAATGCCATGGAACAATTCACTACTCAAACATTGACATAAACATGCGATAAATCATGGGGAAATAACTCATAACGCAGGACATCCATATTTGCCAATGGATTACATAGGTTTATGGATGATCAAAGGTTGAAGATGGTGGTTGAGATGTTGGTGATGATGGCGGTGATGGCGGTTCCTCCGGTGGCGTTCTGACGTTGCCGGATGGGTGAGGGAGGGAGGCCCCCCTCCTCCTTATTCCTCGGCCTCTCCCTACATGCGAGAAGGGTTTTCCCTCCGGGTTTTTATGGCCATGGCTATGGAGGACAAGAGCCTTCGCTAAGATGGGCTCTGACTTTTGAGGGGAGCTGTTTCCGGACCATTTTAACATTTTCGAAGATCATTACTACGAAAAGTATGAAATATTTATGGTGGTCGAGGAACTTATAGGACAAGCTTGCAATAAACGGAGATCTCTAAAAGGTTGATGTAGCCCGTCGGCGCCCTGGGACTTTGTGAACCTACAGGAGGCGCCTAAGCACCCTATGCGTCTCCAGGTGTGGGTCCCAGACCCCCTGGGTTTCTTCTGCTGCAAAACTCCACAATCTTTTTTTTCCTGATTTTTCCTGTGGTTTAAATATTATTTTCCTAGAAATACAAAACTCTAAAAAAACAAGAACTGTCACTGGGGACTTGATTAATATGTTAGTCGAATACAAATGATAAAAGTTGTGCCCAATGCATATATGAATGATAATGTAATGGCATGAGACCTATCAGCTTCCCCCATCCCAAGCTAATCCATGCTTGTGCTCAAGTGTGTAAGATGATAAACAGTGATAATTTATGTATGTGAATGTCAGGTGTATCATGGAGTATAGTACACTAAGTCTTCATTGTATAAATTAAACCTTATCATGAACAAAGCAGAGGTCGACCAAGATTGTCTAACTACACAACCTTTCTACTACCACCATGCAACACTCGTTCAACACTAGAACGTGGGTCTCAACTTTGGCACTTCATGGTAAAAGAGCATGATGATGAAGGTTTTCTTAGAAGTCAAAGTTAAAAAATCCCACACTAAGGCAGTTAACCATTAGGCAATGGGAATGCTTTATAAGAATGCTTGCCATGCAACAGATGCATTAGAACTATAAGTGTATGAAAGCCCTCCTTGTGGACTAGTGAGGGTGCGTCCAACTTGCTTGCTCACAAAGACCTAGAGCTCATTTGAGGAAAAGCTTATGATTGGAATATACAAGGAAAGCTCTATATTGTTAAGTCCCCACTAATATATAATTATGAACCATATGAAAACTTCTCTATGGAATGCAGCGGTGCTACTTTCAAGCACAAGTGTACTAAAAAGAATGGTAGTGTGCCCCCTCTCTCTTTGTTCTATCTTTCTCTCTTCTCTTTTTCCTTTTATTGTGTGGCCTCCATGGCTCTCCTTTTTATTCCTCACAAGACACTCATAATTTACTTACAACTCATGGCGCTAATGTAGCGAATAGCTGTGTCTCGCCCGTACAGATTCCTATTAGGAATAGCCTATACGCAGACGACTATCAGGACTGTCCACTAGCTGTTGTCGGTCGCTGCATTCGCTCATCCGCGTTCGTTCTGGGGTTCTTCTTTTTCTTTGTTTTGTTTTTGTTTTCTCTTCAGTTTTCTCTGTTTTCACTCGTTTTCTTCAGATTTTCCTTTTTTTCTTTTGTTATCCTTTGATTTTCTTTGTTTTTTGAATGTGTTCCTTTGGTTTACCTATTTTTCTTCTTCTTTATACTTTGGTTTTATTTGTTTCTTTCTTGTTTTATTGATGCCTTTTGGTTTCTTTGCTTTTCTTTTTGTTTCTTTGTCAGTTTCCATTGCAATTTTTAATACATGTCTACCTTTTTCCTATTTCTTCAGCACATGCCTATTTTATTTTCATACATCTATAATATTTATTTGTATGCACATTTAACATATTCCAAATACATGTTTTGATCTTTTAGGAAAGATGTCTAGAATAATGTTTGCAAATTCGTTTTAAATATTTGTCGAAGGATAAATACATTTTGATGAACTATGCAGACATTTTTGTACATTGTACAAATATTTTCTGAAAATGTCATGAGCCCATTTTTGAAACTTGTGATGATTTTTGGAAATGTAACATACATTTTTTACATTCGATAAAAAAATTCAAATGGTAGGTCAATATTTTTCTAAATGTAAGACATTTGTTAATTGTCAGACTAACATTTTCATATATATATATATACAAATTAAAAATGTGAAAAAAGGAAAAACAAAAAAAAACATGACGGCACATGATTACTGGGCCAGCCCAGTTCTGGCTCCCTGCGGGCGAACCGTGTCGTTGTGGGTGGCACATAGCTGCACCGCCAACGAAGCAGCTGTGGCGACGACATCGAACATATTAGCGCAACGGACACACCAAGCATGGTACTCAGTGATCCCCAAAGGTTTTACTTATGAGTAGTCCCAGGGTTTTATCTTAATGAATGGTCCCACCACACATCAAGTTTGATAATCAACAAATGGTAAAATCCTTGTGTATTAAACCCGGGTGGTTAGGATGCATAACCGCTAAGCTAATGCTTGTTTGTATGCACAAGCTAAGCTAGATATACTTGTGAAAGTGCGTATCGGTCTATGCACCGATATCGGTTGACATGTGTATTGAAACTTGAGGCATGCAGCCCCAAGACCAGATTAGTCAACGCGGACATGCAGCCCCCTCTGTTCTTGTTCATGGTCATGGTCTTGGTCTTGGTCTTGGTCTTGGTCAGGCAAGCGAGCAGCCAAGCAGGAAGCAGCCACTCTCGCTGTAGGTTGCGGGAGCTGATATACCTGTGGACATGCCTATAAGGGATTGGAGTCTTCGAGAGACAATCATCTGCGGCAGCCACGACTATGATTCCGGCAGCAGCGTTGACGGTGTTGCTGCTCCAGCTCCGCCTATCCACGGCAGCGTCTCATGTTACGGCCGGTGCAGGGCCGTTGCCGCACTGCCAGACCAGCTGCGGCGCCGTGGAAGTGCCCTACCCATTCGGCATCGGCGACGGGTGCTACTGGCCAGGGTTCAACCTCACCTGCGACCGGACACGCGGCAGGGAGCCGCGGCTGCTCGTCGGCGCCGACCTCCAGGTCGTCGAGATCTCCCTGGCCAACTCCACGGTGCGGATCGTGGACATCGCGGGCCAGGTGAGGCTCACCTTCTCCGCGGGCCTCGACGGCAACGGCACGTGGGGCGGCCTCGGCGCCGCCAGCCCTTACGTGTTGTCGGAGATGCGCAACCAGTTCGTCGTCACGGGATGCAACGTGCAGGTCACGCTGGTTGGGGATAGCGACGACAGCAGCGGTGGCAACGTCATCTGCTGCTGCTCCTCCTTCTGCTCCACCAACAACAAGCTGACGGGTGCCCTGACGAGCTCCCCTGGCTACGGCGCTGCCGGCTGCTGCGACACACCCATCCCAATAGGCCGCCCCTCCTACGGCGTGGAGATGAAGTCGCTGGACTCGAGGAACGAGTACGCCCACAGGCTGCCCATCGCGGTGCGCATCGCCGAGAGGGGTTGGTTTGAGGGCGCCTACGCCGTGCTGCTCAACGACTCGCCCGGGTACTCGCCCTCGCGCCGCCCGGCGGTCCCCGTCGTCCTTGATTTTGCGGTGGATTCCAAGCCGGTGATGCTGCCAGGGATGGCGACGTCGGGCTGCCCCGTGGACGCGCGGAGGAGCGCGTGCCAGAGCAGCCATGCCTCCTGCCGCAACGTCTCCGGAAAGTACCGCAGCGGGTACGTGTGCCGGTGCCTTGACGGGTACCGGGGTAACCCATACCTCGCGGGCGGATGCCAGGACGTCGACGAGTGTGCGCTTCCGGGCATGTGCTTCGGCGAGTGCATCAACACAGCCGGAGGGCACCTATGCCGATGCCAGCGTGGCGCCCATGGTGACCCGCGCATAACAAATGGATGCATCAAATCTTATCTAGGTGAGCACAAAACCAATAATACAAGCAGATATTGCATTGGTTCATTCTCTGTTTTACAAATCTTCGTTGACAACAAAGGCGCATTCTCTACGCACATTATTCAGGTTTAAGTGCAGGCATAGGAGTTGGCAGTGGAGCGGCCTTTCTAATCATGGTAATTGGTGCTATTTTGGTGACCCGAAATATGAAGCAACGCAGGGGGAAAATGCTCAAGAAGAAATTCTTCAAGCAAAATCGAGGGCATTTGTTGCAACAATTGGTGTCTCAAAAGGCGGACATCGCTGAGAGGATGATCATCCCCTTGGTGGAGCTACACAAGGCCACCAACAATTTTGACAAAGCTCGCGAGATTGGTGGAGGAGGGCATGGCACGGTCTACAAAGGCATCATGTCAGATCTGCATGTCGTGGCGATCAAGAAGTCCAAGGTCGCGATCCAGAGGGAGATTGACGAGTTCATAAATGAGATAGCGATCCTCTCGCAGATCAATCATCGAAATGTGGTGAAGCTCCATGGGTGCTGCCTCGAGACGGAGGTGCCGCTACTTGTTTACGAGTTCATCTCTAATGGGACCCTTTACCATCATCTCCATGTCCAAGAAACCATGCCATCCCTGCCATGGGAAGATCGGCTGAGGATCGCCACCGAAATAGCAAGAGCTCTAACCTACCTTCACTCAGCTGTGGCGTTCCCTATAGTCCATAGGGATATTAAGTCCCCAAACATTCTGTTAGATGGCACTCTCATGGCAAAGGTGTCAGACTTTGGAGCTTCGAGGTTCATTCCTGCCGACCAAACAAAGACCTCGACCGCAGTCCAAGGGACATTTGGGTACCTAGACCCCGTGTATTTCTACTAAGGAAAGCTCACCGAGAAAAGCGACGTTTACAGCTTCGGCGTCCTCCTCATGGAGCTTCTCACTAGGAAAAAACCATGCTCATATCGGTCATCCGAGGAGGAAACCCTTGTCTCATATTTCACTGCTTCGCTAGAAGCAGGCAAACTGATTCATGTGCTAGATCCTCAAGTGATGGAAGAAGGCGGCAAGGAAGTTGAAGAAGTAGCTATGTTGGCAGTAGCATGCACGAGGATTGAAAGACACCACCGGCCAACCATGAGGCAAGTGGAGATGACACTTGAGAGCCTTGGAGCTGTGCATGATAGCTTTATCCCGAAGTATCAAGTGGTTGTGGGTATGACCATGGAGGGAACGAGCCGACAATATAGCTTGGAAGCAGAACATTTGTTGTCATCAAGATACCCCCGGTAGTCAATGTATTTCAAGTGTGATTAGTTTAATCTACAAATTAATAATTCCTTGACGGGATGTAAATATGGGTGCCACTAGAGCTCTGCCGACTGAGAAAACTAGTAAGATTGCACGTGCAACACACGTCTCCTGTATTTGAAGTCATGTCTTGTGTACACAATAACGACACCCCTCCAGGCCTCCACCGCCTCATCCCATTCGGGCACACGCTCGCGCCTACACTCGCTGAGATCCTTCAGGACAACACCTCTTTCCTTGACTTCCTCTTGTACATCATTTTCCTCGACCCACAGCACCACTGACCTCTCCTGCCAGTACATGCGGATGGAAATCGGCATGTGCTAGCGCCAGGTGGGTGAGCTTTAGCAAAGAAGCAGAGAAGACGGATAATAGAGACAATGCAATGATCAATGGGCTAGAAGCAGTGCAAAGTGGGGAAGGGTTTCAACTTCAAAGGACTAATCCAGGAAAAAGATAACGGCATCCGGATGTTTCATTGTTTCCTAAATTCTATTGGTTCTGCCGAGCCTAACAGCTATTTCTTTCATAGAAACTCAAGAGAAAAACAAATACATGACAAAATGAGGGATTCATCCCGCCCTTATGGTTGGACACAATTAGAATTCATGTTCTGTAGATTACCAGAGAACAAGAATCAAAATTGGTAGCAGTGCATAATACAAATACATAATTCCATCTAAAACCAGCATTTATTGCCGGAGCAATCCTCTCAGGGGAATGAGCCAAGTCCAGCACCCATCCTTCGAAAATGACCAAGATGATCTGCTCCAGAAAGTTTGAGAAATGAAGCTCCTCCGAACTATGATGCTGATTCTCTATATCCAATATTTCCACTAATTACTTGATGAAATATTTTATCTGATGGTTATGTGGATACATATCAGGCTAAATGAACCAGCCGACTGCGAATATGACAAAATATTTAGTTAAAAGCCTGAATTGTTGTCATCCATGGTGCCTATATCTAACTCTTCATCAGAAACAATTACTTCCTGTAAATCATAGTAGCCTACATGGAAAAAAATAGTTTAGTACAATTATTTCCCATACCCTAAGATATAAGTACCATACTAAAATGTTGCGCCTCACGGTAGTCTTCCAGCAAAAATAATTGATACTACATAAACATGATAGAATCAAGTACTATTCATGCCATAAACATTTCAAGCTTAGGAACCCAATATTAATCACATACCACAGGTCGAGGTTTTACATCTTGAATACTACGGAAATGACGGTAGCAAAATCAGGAGGATTGAGGACGATACATGCTCCAAAATTGTTGTAACTGTCCTTGGAAGTCTGTAGCAGAATCAAATATTGATTGTTAGAACTCAGTTCGGATAGAAGTAAAACAAAAAATTTAACTATACAATTAATACATGGTTAGTTGGTCAATATCCTTCCTGAACATGAATTTGAATTGTGTGGATGCATACTACTACCTGCAAAAGCATGATAGACATCATCACCATATATGTTTCTCTTCTTGTGTTTTGGTTGCATTATCTGTCAGGTAATTCATGATTTCTCGAACTCCTAACTGAGCAGCAAAATAATAACAGAGATTGTTACAGCCTTTGACTCACCTCTATGAGCAGCAGTGAGTTGGCGATGATCCTGAAAAAAAAATAAGGGAACCAAAAGAGCTACAGTAATTCCACTCTGAAGTAGTTTAACAAGTATTATAAGAAATTTTTTTGATCTAAAAAATGAAACTATCCATTAGTTGCACAATACATCTCTCGTGCTAGTTGTTCAATCTAGCAGTTTGGTGGCATGGACAGAACAGACTTTCAGAGTTTCAGTACTTCTTTCGTTTGAACCTTAAGACATAACTAAGCACATAGGGGATAAACCATCCAGCACACTTTCCTTGCTACAAGAGAGTATACAACTGAAGCAGATCTCCATCGTTAAAATTGTTGATTTTTATCATAACATTCCAAGAAGAGACAATTTCCCGGTTATTAATTTAATTTACAACTAATTTCCGCGCAAAAGATAGCTTTCTAGTTGGAGATGTACAATTAAAAGAATATGTTAAGTTGGCTGGACACGTTATTCCATTCCGGATAAGTATTGCTAGATTTAAGCTGGTTGGACATGTAAACTAATAGTATTGCAACTACATATTTGCAGAAATTGATTACAGCCGTGCGCAGGAAGACTCATCCCAGTTTCTCGCTGGATTACAGTCGATTACACCACTTTCAGCTTGCTCTTATGGCAGTCAGGTGTGAGCCCAGTTGTTTGAACAACACAGAGGTACAAAATTAATTAAAAATAGCCATGAGTGCCATCTCAATATCCTCTCTATCTCTCTCTCGGCTGGGTAGGAAAGACAGGACAAGCTGCAAATATACAAGGTGGGAGAAGGGCCGGTTCGTACCTTCAGGAGAAGAAGCAGGCGCTAAGCCTCTGCCGCCGCTGGTAGCCCGCCGGAGTATCCCCTCTTCGCCGCCCCGTAGGCCCTCGCCCGCGGCCGCGACCGACAGGCCCTCGTCCGCCGCAGGCCGCCCGCGCCCCGCAGCCGCTTGCCCGCCAATCCCATCTTCCTCCCTTGTTGTGCCGCAGTGGAAGAGCCGAGCGCAGATCGAGGGAAGGGAGCCGGCGGCGTAGATCGGGAGAGGGAGAGACAAGGAAGGGTTTCATCACGACTTCACGAGCCAAAGAGAGGAATGAGCGTTGTATGCGGAGTCGCGGGCGCAGTGCGTGGAATATTCCTCTGCGGACGGAGTATGGTCAGTCACGGGAAATTGCTAACTGCACCCCATAGAGCTATTAGATTAATGATGGATGTTAGATTAAAATTTGTGGGTCTAATTGTGCGGTACAGATTGGTTTGTGTAGTGTTGTGGGTCTAATTGCGGGGTACACATAAGAAAATTCTTGTTTGATTGTTTAATAGTAGTGTAGATGAGTCGGCTGGTGTGTTTTTTTAGGACGAGGCTAGGGAGCACCGCTGCGCTCGTTTGTTGATTTGGGCATATTGTCGTATATAGTAAGTGCATGTCGTTACGTCCAGCTGTCTAGTGTAGAAAAGAAAATTGTTTGGACATATCCCGTAGCGCACGTGGCTATCGATTGAATCAGCCTAGATCCTCTCCCATGTGCATTTATTTAGGGTTTAAAAAAGTTGTAAAAGCCATAACTTTTGATTCAAGTATCAAAATACAGTTCTGTTTTCACAGTCAGGTTTCTGACGACGAGTTCTTCAAAACTAGATCTCATATGAGTTGGTTTCGTTAAACTTTTTCTGAGGGCAACTTTGGGTGCAATGGAGGCAAATATTGTGCTATTGAGGAGCAACTTCTTCTTTTTGGCCTAGTTGGATTTTTTTGTCCTAGTTGGACTGACTATTAAGTTAGTTTGCATAAAAACAAGAAAAATCACATAAAATATAAGGCATCTTTAGTGTACATACAAAGCAACTTCACTGCACTATGTATATTTGTCAGTTTTGCTAACATTACTCCAACTTATGTATCATGGCTGCTCAATTGCCTATTGTTGATGATTAGTTACAAATGGTTGATGTTCAATTGCCTATAAATGCTATAAATAGCCTATAATTGATGCCTAGTTGCCTGCTACTGGTAATTAGTTGCCTACAATTGCCGCTTAGTTGCCTAATTTTGTTAAAATAGTTGCCTAGAATATTATGAAGTTGTTCATCATTGTTTTTCTAAGTTGCCTACAAACACTGTGAAGTGGCCAAGATTCATCATCATATTGCCTACCATAACTAGCAATATATAGCAAACACAAGAGCATCATCCGTAGACGACATCATAGTATTATAGGCAATTTAGAAACAACGAGATACGAGCATGAACAATAGGCAACTTAGAAGTAACGATGAGGAAGTTAGGAGAATGTTAGACAAAATTAACTAGGACACACAAGGTAGTGACGTTGCCTGCTTTTAGCACTAGAGTTGCCTCTTGTGGAAGAAAAGTTGCTCATAAAGGTGATGTGATATTATCTACCTCAGTTTGGCAGTTGTTCTGTATTATTAGTTAGTTGCTTATTGTTGCTAATTAGTTATTTTTAGGAGTGGAGTTGCTTATGTTTAGCATTAAAGTTGTCTCATCTAGCATCAAAGTTGCTTTTAAAACTAAGTAGAGTTAGCAACTTAGGTCCAAAGCCGCCTATATATAAAACTAAGTTGTATGCAACTAAGGATGATGTTAACTACTAGCTAGTCATGGTAGCCCCCTTAGGATACTGTTAGCCTACCTTGAAAACTAAGTTGCCTACAATACTATAAAGTTGCCTACGAATGATGCTGAGTTGGCTACATACATTGAAAATTTGTCCCACATGGTTTTTATGTTATCTACAATATACTTGATAGGTAAATTCACTAGTACACATGATGTAAGGAAGTTGCTTCTGTTTAGTACTAAAATCTCCTCAACTAGAACCAAAGTTGCTTTTAAAAAAGTTCATCAAACCATATACATATGGGATCTAGTTTTAAAGATCTCGCCGCGAGAAATCTAATGGTGAAAACGGATTTTTATTTTGACACTCGATTCAAAAGTTATAGCTTTTTAAAAAATGAGATGGAATAATATGGGATGACATCAGCACATGCATGCAGGTAATCCTTAGTGACCATCCACCACCTGACAACGTGAGGTACATCGTGAGGAGGAAGGAGGCTGTTTTCTTAGCAGTTTTGTCGTGTAGCAGGTGCGCAAGCATCGGACAGCTCGCGTGTGCGCTCGGCTCTGCCAGATAGCGCAGCTGCGCGTTTAAGTATTTGATTTTTTTTATTATCCCAACTGTTCTTCCACCGTTTCACATGTGTCTCCTCACCTGGGTTGTTTGTGTTTGCTCTTGTTGGGTTAGCTCTCAATCTTTCTTGCTCCGGAGACTCCCATCCGTTTCCCCTCACTTGTGTTGTTCGTTTTTTTCTTCTGTTGTGCTAGCCTCTCTTTTTTCTTACCTGTGTGACTGATTTCAGTAGA